ATGAAAAACAACAGCTCTGTGTCCTACAATTTAGAAATAATTCACACATTGGGGAAAATTTTTAAAGGAAAACTATTTCCTATCATTTTCTTTTTAAAATAAATCCATGTATATCACTCACCATAAAAGCAACACACAATGCCTTCTACATAATAGTGGAAGGAACTGGTCCCCAAAGACCTTTTCTTTGTATAAATGATGCTACTACAATTGATGCTTCAATAAAGATGAATATTTATGAAATGTAAAATGACTTGGGTTAACTTATTCCAATTTCACCTTCTAAATTTAGATTTTTAAATCATGCCAAAATGTAGATTTTGATTACAAAAGCAAGTTGAACAGAAAAGAAAATGTGCTTGACAAGAAAAAATGAGAGCAAAATTTTAAAACGACTCAGAATAGGATGACAAAAGATGATTCTTTTAAAAGGTGGTCAATTAGACTAAACACAGAAGAGACTATCTTCAGTGTGGAGCTGTTGACTTCAACACAGACAGAATTAAACACAGAAGAATTAAAAGTTACAAAGTATGATGTAAAGCTACCCTCATCTTACCACACACCCAGCCCAAACATTACTCTATTAGCTACCCTTTCAAAGTTGCTTTGTGCAGGTATATTTTTATCTCCCTACTCGCTCACAAACTCTCTGTGCTCTTCTGACCTTGTCTGTTCCCTAAACTCCACCCTGGCACACTCTCCATATAGAATAGCCCCACATCCTCTTTACAGCTGCATAGTTCATTGTGAAGATGGATCACCATTTACTTAACTACCCCCACTGACGGGCTATTTGGGTTGAGTCCAACCTTTGGCTATTGCCCACCAAGCTGCAGTGAATAACCTGGTACCGTCATCATTTGGCATGTGTGCAAAGTGCATCTGAAGGGCAAATTCCCAGAAACTGAATTTCTGAGTCCAAAGGTATATGCATTGAAATCTATAACAGATACTGCCAAGTTGCCTTCCAGGGGAGTGCAGCCGGCTGACACTAGAAGAGTTCACCATCAAAGAGTGTACCATCAAAGTTCTGGATTTTTGCCAACCTAAAAAATGAAAAAGAGTATTTGCATTCTCCTCACTGGAAGTGAAAGAGAGCATCTTTTTATATAAATCAAATGTTCTTTCTTTTCTGTAAACTGTATTCAAAACCTTTTCTTGTGTTTCTAATGGACACTGGCTTTGTCCTTAGTAGCTTCTAGAAGCTTCTTGGATATTAGAGATTGGTCCTCCTGTGGTATGTGATGCACCTGTGTATTCCAAGCTGTCTTAACTCTGCTTAGGTGATTTTTTTTTTTTTTTGCCACATACACAAAATAATCAAAAAGCTTTAATTTTGATGTGATCTAACACTTCAATCTTTCACATTGTCTAATTTCTCCAGTTATTGATACGAGGGCTTTTCTTACATGAAGTTTCTAAAAGAATTCTTTTTTTGTTTTTTTTTTTTGGGGGGGGGTCCGGTCGTGAGGCCTGAACTCTGGGCCTGGGCGCTGTCCCTCAGCTCTTCAGTTCAAGGCTAGCACTCTACCACTTGAGCCACAGCGCCACTTCTGGCTTTTTTCTTTTTGCTTATGTGGTGCTGAGGAATCGAACCCAGGGCCTCAGGCATGCAAGGCAAGCGCTCTACCACTGAGCCACCTTCCTAGCCCCCAAGAATTCTCCTTTTTAATACTTAGTTGTTTCATTTTTACATTTAACTAAATGAACGACGTTATAGCTGTTTGGAAGTGAGCTGCCCCCATGCCTAGCCAGCCCAGCTACTTATCAGGTACGCAAGCGTGGGTAAGATGCCAAAGGCTCTGGCCTCTGTGACTTCATCCAGAAATGGGGATCATCGCAGTTACCACTCCTTGGGGTACTGTGAATACTAAACATATTAATAAATGGCATGACAGTGTCCGTCACACAGTACACTCAGTGAGTGTGAGAGATTATTATCATTGAATGTCTGGAAATTAAGATAATAAAGAACCTTTGTCGGGCTGGGAAGGTGGCTCAGTGGTAGAGTGTTTGCCTTGCATGCATGAGGCCCTGGATTCGATTCCTTAGCACTATCTAAGTAGAAAAAGCCCAAAGTGGCGCTGTGGCTCAATTGGTAGAGCACCAGCCTTGAGCTGAAGAGCTGAGGGACAGCTCCCAGGCCCAGAGTTCAAGCCCCATAAATGACCAAAAAAAAAAAAGCACCCATAAGATCTTGCAACTGTCCCAACACAAATTACCTAATATTCCATCTTGTCCGCACTGATCTGAGATTATTACCTTTGCCATTTACTATATTCCTGTATGTATTTAAGAATTTCTAATCTTTCCTTCTTTTGTAATTTCTAATTGTCTTATCTTTTCTGGTCACACTGGTTAGCACCTACAATTCAATGTAAAACAGTAACTAATTACCAAGGCTAATCTATTTATCTTTTGATTCATTGTGAGGGGGAATAATGAAAGTTTGAAGCTGGGTGCCCAGTGGCTCATACCTATAACCCTCACTGCTCAGGAAGGTGAGATCTGAGGATCACATTTCAAAACCATGAGAAAGTCCATGAGAATCTTATCTCCAATGAACCACCAGAAAACTGGAAGTGGCACTGTGGCTCAAGTGGTAGAGTGCCAGCCTTGAACACAAAGAACTCAGGAACAGAGCCAAGGCCTAGAGTAGAAGCCTCACAATTTACCCTTCCCCCCCCAAAAAAATCACAAATTTCAGAGACCACACATGTTGTTTGTCCTCCTCTAGCTTTGCCTCAGGTAACACGTCTGATGTGTGGGTTACATGTGTAGCTGTGAATAAGAAAAAGGTCATACCCTTTTCCAAGTGCCTCTACCTTTTCTTACTGCAAACCCTCAAAATGGCCTCCTTTTCAAACTCAACATTTTTCTTTTTATCTATAAGCAGTTGTACAAAAGGGTTTCAAGTCAACAAGTCGGTTTATGAGTACAATGCACCTTGATCAATGGCACCCCTCCCATCCTTCTCATCTCTCCCATCACCCACCCCTGTAGTTACGTTGGTTCCATTTTCACACATAGACAACACTTAGAACTCTTTAAGGGTAAGAAGGATGGAAGAATTTTTGGGAAATTCTCCAACACAGGATTCTTTGGCATGGAGCCATATGTAAAAGGTTAAACGCCACTTTGTGTTCCAATACCTCCGTGGTGGTGGCTTACAAACTAGAGCAGTCATCAGAATTATCTGGAGGGCTTTTTTTTTTTTTTTTTTTTTTGTCGGTCATGGGGCTTGAACTCTGGGCTTGGGCGCTGTCCCTGCGCTCTTCAGCTCAAGGCTAGAGCTCTACCACTTGAGCCACAGCACCACTTCCGGTTTTCTAGTGGTTTTTTGGAGACAGGAGTCTCATGGACTTTCCTGCCCGGGCTGGCTTTGAACTGCGATCCTCAGATCTCAGCCTCCTGAGTAGCTAGGATTACAGGCGAGAGCCACTGGCGCCCGGCATGGAGGGCTTGTTTTAAAGACAGATTGCCCAAGTTCCTCTGATTCAGCAACCAGGCATGAGATGCCACCACCACCACCTCTAATGTGAGGGGCAAGCTCACTTTGTAAGATACTGCAGCAAGGTAATTTAGGCTGAGAATCTCTCATTGGAAATGACTGGAATATTAGCGTACACATTACAAGATAGTGAGTGCACTATCCCAAGTCTAAACATGAAACCCAACCCCTTACACACACAGCCTGTGGGTGATTTTGTGCAACATCCCTTTGCCTGTGTCCCATTGCATGATGTCGAGTTTGGAATTTCCTCCCTCTGATATAAAGAGGTGCTCAAAAAGCGTTTAGATTTTGGAGCATTTCAGAGTTCAGACTTAGGGATTCTCAACTTGTGCTGCTCAAAACATGGTCCCGGCATGAACATAAAAGGAGAACTGTTTAGGAGGGGACTAGAGGAGGGAGGGTGGGGATGACGACAAAGAAGGAATACGGGGGATGAAGAGGCTCAAAGGACTGTATGTGTATGTGTATTGCATGTGTATGTATTTGCATATGCATACACTCACAACATAAGGAAACACATCAGAGGTTGAATGTGTAAGGGGGGATGGGAAGATGGTGGAGGAGGTGAATTCATTTAAAGAGCACTGTGTGAGTATGGTAATACATGTATGATCCACCCTCATATTACAAATGTATATTAATTCAAAATAAAGTCCTACATTATAAGTGCATGTTAATTCATGGTACTGGTAGCGATGGACCTGTACTCCCCCCCTCCCCAACAGAAACAGAAAAATCTTTTTGCAAACTTTGTAGCAGGTTAAATGCATCCAGGTCTATCATCATTTTCCTAAAATTTCCTCCTTACTGTATCCAAAGTATCAGTGTGACAATAGCCACAACGTTTTGGAAAGTGTGCAAACACTGCTCTAAAATGACTAATTAGGTCAAGGATCAGCCGGGACATGGGCTGAGCCATCGCGGGCAGGGACGGGGGGGGGGGGAGAGGGGGGGGAGAGGCCAGCAGTCCTGGGGGTAACGAGAAGCTGGGAACCATTTTTGCAGCCAGAACACTGGCATGAAAACTTCAAAAGTGAAGTCTGCACACTAGGTCTCAGCGGCCTCCAGGCCAAGAAGGGACATCGAGGCAGGGCATCCTGCTGAGAGGGGACCCCCCCCATCTCTCATCCTGCCCAAGCCCAAGAGCTGCACTCTACGCCAGCTAGACTCTTCCAGAGAGCTTGATTTCCTCCTAAGAAGCGGAAAAGCTGAACAAAGAGAAGAGTGCCTGCCTGCGGGACCAGCCTCAGCTACGGGGGCACGCGCACCCCGCCAAATCCCAACTGCTGGGGGCTCCTGCGCGTCAGTGCGCCTGCGCAGAACGCCAGCCCTGACCGTCCCCCCCTCCCATTCCCGCCCTCCCCCCACGCACTCCCGGCTCCGCGGCTTCAGTGCGCCTGCGCAGACCGCGGACCGCCAGCTCCGACCCTCCCGGAGCCGGGCGCGGTGGGCTCCGGCTGCTGCGCATGCGCCCGCTCCTCACCTGCTACCGCGATCGGCTCCTTCCGGCCCGGCAAGGCCTCCTGGGGGCCGACCACGACCCTCGAGGCGAAGTCGCCCATTCTGGGGACCGGGAAGAGGCGGAGGAGGTGGCGAGCCTTCCCTGTGGCCGAGAGCATGGGCGGGCGGCGGCGGTGTTGGCGGCTTGGCGGCGGGAAGGCGGAGGGCGGCCGGGCGGGCGGGGCTCCCGCCGGGCGGGCGGGCGCGGTTTCGGGGTGACGCCCCCCCCCCCCCCCCGCGGCCGCGGTCCCGGGCGAGCGCTCCCCGTGGGTGTGGCCCGGCCTCACGAGCGAGCCCGGCGCCCGGGCGGCCGCCGCCGCGGGACAAAGTTCTCGGGGAGCGCCGCGTCCTCGGCCGCCGAGTACGACGAGCGGCAGGGGCCAAATTCCGCCAGGGTGCGCCTTTGATTTTTCCGGTCCCGGCCGTCCCCGCGTCCCGCGACGCCCTCCTGAACCCATTTTACAGGCCCTGAAGCCGGGGGCTGGGTGTGGGCGGAGCCGGGGGCTGCGCTGCCCGGGGGGCCGAGGGCTCACGCGGGGGGCTGCGGCCCAGCCAGGTTCCCACACCCCAGCCCCACACAGATTAAACTGCGCGCGCACCTGCGGTCAGGCAGGCTTCCCCCGGCCAGGTCATGCCCTCCTCCTGCCTTTTGACTTGTGTCTGCCACACGATGATACCGAACTGGTTCTACAAGACTTTTCCTAGAAACACCTGTGGCGTGACTTCAGGCCTGGGCGCTGTTACACATTCCAAAGAGAGAGAGAGAAACTAATCATCTGAAGTAATTTGTATTTTTAAATCATTGCCTTGCAACACGTACTGGTTTGCTTTTTCTTTGTCTTGTGGTTCAAGGGTAACATGCTAGAACTACCCTTCAACTCAGAACTGGATAATCGGTCATGTTAAAGGAAACTGCTAGTTGAATGTTAGGTAAAAAGGCACAGTACGAATATGTTCATAGTGTATACATACACTGAAGAACACATAATTGTCCCACCTGGCCACTGAAGAAAAACAAGAAGAAAATAAAAGTAAAGCTTGCAGATTTCTTGTTGGGCATAGAAGAATTCTACTAAGTGTAAGGTCCACTCCTGGATGGCTAGAAGACTCCACCCTCCTCGCAGCAAAGTCTCCACACAGTACCTGCATTACCTAGGCAACTGGGACACCTGGAAGAGGTCACATCTGCATCTGCTGAGGTCACATCTGAATTTGATGTGGCCACACCTTTCTCCGCCCATACCCTAGATAAGGCCTAGCCCAGGCCCAGAAGCCCTCTCTCTGCTCTTTTCTAGCTCTTTCCTCTCTTTTTTCTAGCTCTCTTCTCTTTCTCTGCTCTCTCTTTCCCAGCTCTCTCTCTTTCCCAGCCTTTCCCAGCCGCGTGGAGGGCCAACCTGGCCTGGTCCCAGCAGGTCTACTGAATAAACCTACCCCTTACCTAAATACCACATGAGTGGTGCTGTTCTTACTCGGCTACCTCTTTTTAAAAAAACCTAACACTAAGGTTCTCTTTAAACTTTTACAAACATTCTGTGGACATGGTTAAAAGTTTTTCAATGGGTGGGTTACTTGTATAATTACATGTTGAAAGAGAAAAAACACCCAAATTTATTTCAAAATTCTCACGAAACTCATTTACCAGAATAATAGGATGTTTCCTTGTTTACAAGAGAGAATAAAATACGTTTACCTTTAGTGATGCCTTTTTCCCATAGACCTTTCTTCAGACTCCGTCTCCTGAGCTCCAGTGAGACACTCTTTCATTTATTTTGCCAGTTCATTTCTTGAATAAAACTATGTGTCCATTTCTGAAAAAAAGGAAAGTAAAAACATTTGAAGTCAAACAATACATGCTGGCATAGAGCTAGGAAACTGCTTGCTATATGAAGTAAGAATATAACACTTGAGTAAGCTAACGAGAACATATTTTGCATTTGGATCACAAATATTAAACAGCATTTTACCAGATGCTTTTGGTATTGCCCCAAACATAAATTCTGCTGAAAGCATCTATTTAGTAGGTAGTTACTGCCACGTGCCCTAGCCCCACAGCTATGCATTCCTGCACCGGGCCGCATCAGGCCTTCTCCTGGCCCATTGAGCAGCGGGCCACCCAGCCAGCACAGCAGCACAGAAGGAGGCCCAGATAGGGGCCTGTGGGTCGCAGAGAAGGAAGAAAACCCAGTCTTCCCTAGGGGTTATATGTCAGGTCATGGAGGATCATGCTTCAAGCCTGAAGAAGAGAAATGCCAACAACACAGAGCAGATAATCAAGAGCCAATTGTGTAAAAGACACTTGGCTGTTATCTCTTTATTAAACTATGAATTCTGCAGGGATACCTTAGTTCATTCAAATGTAGATGAGACTTTTTGACTTGTTTCATAAAAAGACACTCTACTAGGTAGTTAGACACCCTTATAAATGAATAAATACAAAGCTAAAGTGACACTTTACATTTGCATACTTAAAAAACGGTGGCCTCATATATGGCCTATCTGTAGAAGATACAAAGCTGTCTAAAACAATTACTTGCATGACTTCTTTTACAGAATTTTAAGAGGAAAATTGGAGGGGGAAAACGAATAGCCATCATTATGATGGCTGAGCACCTATTCGCTTTATATCCATTATCTAACCTGCACTCTGACACTTTTTCATAGTTTTAGAGTTGAAAAAACTTTGATAAATATATCAACGGGAGATGTAGCCACTTCACTCCTGGACTGCTTGTACATGTGCTAATATACTAGGGCTACCGATCCAGTATCGATGTTCCCCATGCACCCAAAGTTGGGTATGTTGAAATCCTACCCCTCAGTGAGATGGCACTAGAAGAATGCCCATCGGAAGGTGACTTGATCATGAAGGTGGGACCCTCCTAACTGGAACAGTCTCTTTGGAAGGAGGCCCCAGAGAGCTCCTGTGTTCCTTCACCATGCAAAGAACAACAAGACGGCCATCTGTGAACCAGGAGCTGAATCCTTAATGAAACTCAGATTCCAGCACCTTGATGTTAGACTTCCCATGCTCTAAAACTATGAGAAACACATTTCTGTTGTTTATAAATTGATATTCTATTATAAATCACAAACTGGTATTCTATTACCATAGAACGATAAACTGGTATTGTACCACATACCACAAATGAATGAAGTCAACAGGTGAGAAATGAACTTCTGTTTTGTTTAAGCCACCTGGCTTTGAGCAGCTCAGTGGTTCTCAACGTCTAGCATGCATCAGAGTCATATAGAGGAATTACCACAGGGCAGACTGCTGCACCCCAACCCAGCTTCTGATTTAATATGGGAGTGAGCCCTGAGTCAATGCTTCTATCAAATTCCTAGTTGTGCTGACTCTCTCAGTCCAGAAAACAAGCATTGAGAATCACTGTTCTACCTGAACCCATCCCTACTCTCCAGCTCCCCAACAAACAGATCTTGAAAATCTCCAGAATGTAAGGATGTGAGTTTTCAGCTGTCTTCACTCACTCCAGCTTGCACCGTGGAGCCAAAGAGAAAAACAACCTCTGCATAATTTACCTGCAGCTATCATTGCTGAATCTGAAAAGATTTGGAATATCCACCAACCCATCTAGAGCCAGGAAATATAATTGTCCCTCACTCTTCTTGGGGATGGGTTCCAGGACCACCCCCACAGATACCATAGATGCTCAAGCCCCTTATGCAAAATAGCATGGTGTATTACTTTATGTCTACATGACCTAATATAAGTACTACATAACAGTTGTTACTTACAGTGGACCCTTGGAAGCCCTGGGTATGTGTTTTAAGAAGATTGCAATTGAAGAAGGACCATGAATACTCAAAATACATAGAGGCCAGTACTGTATTTCAGAAGCTTGATTCATTTTTTTCCCACAAACAGCCCAACTTCTGTGAAAGACATGCCAACTCCCAACAGATCTAACATTTCAATTTAGGCACATTAATTTTTACTTTGTTTGGCAGGAGATGGGGGGGACGCCCTTTGCTTTGGGAGGAGGCATATTTTCACAAAATGAAGGGCAAGTAAACACTCAGCAGATCATACCAAGATTTAAAAACAACTGTTCCCAACATGGCACCACCAAGATTCTGTGCATCTACTGAGCTGTGGAAATTTAAAGTGTTTGGTTTAGCCAGATTCCTGCAGCTCACATCAGTAATGCTAGCTACTCAGGAAGCTGAGATCTGAGGATTGCGGTTCAAAGCCAGCCCTGGAAGGAAACTGCATGAAATGCTTATCTCCAATAAACTACTCAAAAAAAAAAAAAAACTGGCAGTGGTCCTGTGGTAGAGTTCTACTCCTCAAATGGTAGAGCGCTAGCCTTGAGCAAAAGCAGCTCAGGGACTGTGCCAGGCCCTGAGTTCAAGCCCCAGGACCAGAAAAAAAAAATGTTTGGTTTTGAAATTTCTTTTGATTTTCTAAAATGTATCGTTTTTTTCTTAACTACAATTGGTCAAACTGCTTCAGCAAATTCATGATTGAGCTGGCTTTACTTTGCTTTGAGAATAACAACAAGGGGGGAAAAAAAGCTGTTCACATTTAGCACACCTCAGGGTTGTTTTTTTTTAATATTTTAAATCTGAGGTTAATTGAAACCACAGATAAGGAAACCACAGACATTGGGGACTGACTATTTAATGGCCCCAGACAGAATCTATTGGACCCTAAAAACGTGGATTAGAAAGCCTGGATGATTTAAAACTTCTCTGCAATAACCCACCATTTTTAGGAATTACCACTGCCACTTTTAAAAGCATGGTATTGTTGTGCTGTTGTTGAAATCTACATGTGTTTGATATGTGTTAAATTAAGTAACTGCTTTCCAGTAGCCCCTTCCTAAATAAAGTGCATTATCAAATCATGTCAAAAGCTGCATAGGGGGTTATACACATGAAGCCATGACCGAATGGCAAAAAAAAACCGGGAAGGGGAAATCCCCCAAGGGGAAGTCTTGAAATGCTGAATGACAGCAGTGCTCAGGTAACAACACCAGCAGTGAGAAGCTGAATATTTATTTATTTATTTTATTTTATTTTTTTGTCGGTCGTGGGGCTTGAACTCTGGGCCTGGGCGCTGTCCCTCACCTCTTCAGCTCAAGGCGAGTGCTCTACCACTTGAGCTACAGCGCCACTTCCGGTTTT